CCACCTCTCTCTTTCTTCTTCTTTTCCCTAAGAAAGATCTTAACAAGTTTCAAGATTGTTTGCACGTAAAATCACATTGCTTTCGAAGAGTACATAAAACTTGAAGAGACTACTCTGAAACTTTCTGAGACTTCCTCGCGAACTGACCACTTTGAACCCACTTCTTGAAATTACAAAATGAAAAAGCATCAAAAGCCTCTCTCCGCATGAACTTTCCTTTTACCGGATAAAATATTCAGTTTCAATATTAACTTCTTACAATAAGAATACATATACCCAAGGGAGGCCCTTTGTGAACTTACTAAATAATTGAAATCTTCTTAAATAGACGCGAAGATCGTGTACTACGACCGGTATTTCACCTTTTAACAACCAAACATTCGTCGCGATTACATTTCACCCGATCTAACAGATAAAACCCTAAAGCTAAAAATGTTGAAATTGAAATTCTAAAGCTCTCTAGTTAAATTGAACGGTAAATGTAACGTGCTACTTAAAAATCCTGAACCTCGAAATTTAAATCGAAATGTTCCTCATGAACCGTAAAAATCTTCAAAAACGAAAATGAGGAACTTAACATTTGCATAGGATCAAAGCAGAGTGCATTTAAAAATGCAAGCGTAACTTATTTTCGACATTTTGTCACATCTCATTTTTCCAGCACTTAATCAAATTACCAACACGTCTCGTTTAAATTTTACCACATCCCATTTCTCGTTTCACCTCTCGCTCCACGGAACATTAATTTCAGTGTAACAAATGAAAAATAATAAAAATTTGCAGAGAATAAAAAGAAAGGAAGCACGATATCGATCAATTAAAAATTGTTTCCATTAGAGCGTAACTTTATTAATCACAAGTTATACAGAATAATGGAGACTGATCACGTTAGAATTAATCGAAGGGTGCATCAAACCGAAGATTGATTGATAGATTCTAAGCTTGAAATTTATCGAGCTAACCATTAACTTAACATATCAGCTCATCTCTCGCGCTAGTTAATGCCGTCAGGATTATCTGAAATTAATTTAACAAAATAACAGGCGGTGGTTATTCTACGTGGAACGGCTGACGTTGCGTAAACACCAGGTAACGTACACGTTAAAGGACGCAACGTTGTTGTTGGTATCGATCCACGATACTACGATAGGAGTGTTCTTGGCCGGCACTGGAACATAGACCAAGTGTTTGATGTCAATTTCGGCTGGAACTTTATGAATGTTTATCGACTAGATGAAACTGAATGACCAATTGCTATTCTTTGATATGGAACATTTTTGTGATTCGATTAAATTGGTCATTTTTAGTTTGGTGGCTAAATTGTAAATATTGGATAAAGTGTGTAAGAAAGTGAAAAGATATTTGTGTATTATTATTAAGACGATCAAATTTGAATAAGACTCTTCTGAAACGAAACTGAATATTATTAACGCATCGATAATTGTATTGCATTGGAAAGATTTTTTCTTTATTTTGCAACTTTAATAATCGATTCACGTGAAGATTTATGCTCTTAAGTGAAATAATTTCTGCGGTAAAAGTATTTTAAACTTCTTCTTTCTACCTTCATTTCAACTTACGAAAATGAATTCAAATATATGTCCGAAGTAACTGAGCATCCTAAAAGTTGGCTAAGGATAATAACACTTTGCAGGAAAATGTTATCCTTTTCATTCGATACTTCCGAGAGAAAGAGAGAAGTGGAAATTTTCTTTTTGAAAGAATTCTCGAGTATTCGTAAAATTTTGCTAACCATTTCGCACGTTTGCTGTTGCAGATTACCAAATGGGCACATTAATTTCGAGAAATTTTGGCAACTGGCGAAGCAGGTAACAGAATTCATCGCCTGGAAACAAGTTGCTTGTCCGTTTGAGAAAAGTCCACGTGTCATTGCTTTTCTTCAGGCGAGCCCGGTGCTGACTGAAAATGGTAAAATACCTTCGTTCCTTTCCCTTTAATGATAAAAAAAGAAAAGAACTAACGTGTAATCTACAAAGAAATAATTAATATCTACACAATAACATTATTAAAATGTTGAAACGTTAAGATACCTCTGTTCAAATAATTCATAGATTATTTTCTAATTAATAATGAACTATTCTTCACTTGTTAATACATGGAAATAAAGTAGGAAAATAAATTTTCATTCATCCGTAATTTTCTTGAAACAGGTCACTATAATTTCTACCTTTTTCCATAACATAGCTCTAGCTTTGGCATCCTTCGAGTGCGAACCACCAGACAACAATCCAGAAAAAGAACGTTACAAAGCATTGAAGTAAGTATTCGACGAATATCTAACACCTACTGTTTGCCAATAAAAAAAGAAATTTAATATCTCGTAAAATTTCACACGGAAAATAATTCGACTCGGCTATCAAAGCATCGAATTGCATCGATTTGCATATCCCAAAAGTGTCTTCAATTTACACGATAATTCTCGAAATACCGACGAAATTGCAACTTCCTTCGGAATACAATCTAAATCATTCCCCCTTCTTCTTGATACCCTGTCGACAGGTCTGAACTGAATGCCCAGTGAAAACGAGTGACCATACACCGCGTCGAATGGGAACGATATTGAGACAGACGCGCTCTTCTAAAACTACGTTTCCAGACATTAATCACGCACGAATCTCTCCTAAGAAGAAGCAAATCGAGAGGAAGGAACCATCCAACGAAAGCATAGAAAAAGGGAAGAGCGAGAGAGAAGAATATCCGAATGGTAAACGAGAGACCAGCACGATATCACGAGATGCAAAAAAGAAAAAGAAGCGAGAAGAAGAATCGAGAATGTGCAGCGATTTGCTCGCGATCAGCAAAAGGGAGAGGATTGAGAAAAGAAGAATTTCATCGTAGTGGTCTCGCGTACGTCGTTTAAGGACATCGTTTAGGTACTGTAGAAAGAGATCGGTGCAGTCGTCCTCGATATTCTTCACCAAAGCCATAACTTCATTTCCACCGTAACAACACTTCATTTCCCTTGACCGCGTGTGTATCATCGTTCAATCTCTGCACACTCCAGCACACACCTCGCGATACTTTTCTTCACGCCTACACCACACGTATACACATACATATATATAATATACAAACAGCGTATACGTGAATCCCCCATTCCTATATCGTGCGTTCTACTTGCACTCTGAAAACACTCCACAAGGGAGAACTACTCGAAGAGATGATCCTCCCTGTGGTTCTATGAGAGAACACTTCACGTAGAGAGAAGCGATTCTGAAATTCCGAAAGTTCGAACAGAGGAAACTGAGACCGATTGCACCGGTCCTGTCTCCTTCGTCTACGGATCAAGCCGAGAGAGAGAGAGAGAGAGAGAGAGAGAGAGAGATTCTCTGGTAGGAACCGGAAATCGAACTGGTCCGCTAGAACGAGCACGAAAAGAAAAAAAAAATAAATTCACTGAACAGTATCGCGTAGCAGTAAGTATAGTTCCTAAGCCCGAGGCCATGAGGATCAGAGTGTTCCTCGAGTCGCGACTGTCGACGACCATTCGAGAGATCGGCTATGCCCCATGGTCGACCCTTTTGTACATAGTCCTTTTGATATACGCTAACGAAACTCCTAGGTGTGAACAGAGGATAATGGAAAATGATAAAAAAAGAAGAAATAGGTTCGTTCCTGTAGAGTAAGCTCGAACGTTGTCGTTTTAAGGTTCTATGATACACGTAGTAGCAGACGACGGTCGTCGTGCACGTACTTAACGAACGAGAGAAAGAGAGAGAGAGAGAGAGAGAGGAGAGAAACGTTTGACGCGATCAGAAAGAGAGAAAGGACACGACTCCGCTAGTAACGCACACGGTTCTGCCGTTTGCAGCTTTTCAGAAAGCGTTTCCATTGTTCCGACGTTGACGGTGCCGTTTGGTTTTTTTCTTTTTTTTTTTTTTTTCGAAGGTTCGCACAGTGACGCGCGCGAGATTAGAATTTTTTTCACATATATTTGCCCCGAATTTTTCGTGGAAAAGAAAAGGAAAAGAAAACGGTCGCGTGTAGAGGTGTAGATCTTTTCCTTTTTTTTCTCTCGGTGGTCCGTTTGACTCGCGTCAGTGGGTGGGTGTGGTGGTTGACGTTGTTGAAGATGTGTTTGTGAAGTTTTACGTGGCAGATTTTAAGGTGATTTCCGAATATCGTTGGGAGCTTAACGATGAAAGTTTTTCGATTAACGTCGAGTTACGGTGTAACCGAGAATTAAGCGAGGTAATTATTAGAGAAGCTTAATCGTACGAAAATATTTTACACGGAGAATCTTTTTCACTTGTCCAGTCAGTTTGTACATTCTTACAAAAAACTAGAACACATTCGTATTTCCTTTTCTTCTTCTTTATAAAATATCGACGTTATTAGAGAAGAAACATTTCCAACACGCGTGTCACCGTTAAAACATGGTTTCGTATTTTTCCTCGACAAGGATCTCGACTGTGTTCGTTCGTCCCCGAGACTATTCGAAGGAAGGAAAATCGATCGAGTCGAGATCCGTCGAGCAAGCAAGCTGCAGCGACGATTTTGTTCCGTTTATTCTCCGGACTGAACCTCGCGATAGACAAGAGGAATCGCAGAGATAAGCAGATGAGGTGGGGAGGGATTTTGAGAAAAAAATAGGGACCAAGAGTTCGTTTTTCCGTGAATGGAACCGAGAGGTCGCGATCGATTCGTCGCGATCCAATGTCACAAGGGAATGGAAGGAATAAGAAAGCAGACTGTCGAACTTTCCGCTCGCTAATCCGCAGGTTCGCGTACTGAGAGAAACACCTTTGCAGTCATTAGGCATTTAAGTAGACGATTCGTGTACAGTTTATTAGATATGATCTTGAGCTACGTACAACGTGTTGAATATCTTTTCTTTCTGTGCAGGATGATGCGTGTGAATCGACGATTCGATCGTTCATACGGTACGTGAAAAAGGCTGTCTCGTAGTTCAAAAATTGCGACAGCACGCGTTTCACGTTAAAATTTATCGTAACGTTCTTTTATACCAATCTGCTAATTTATAGGAACGTATTATTGTGCGTTTCTTTCTCTGCACCGTGCACCGCGAGTTCTTTTTAAGACAAGACTTTTAACGACATATTCGGTGAATATGTACAAATCCTTCATTTTTTTTTTTTTTTTTCTTTCTATTCATTATTTCGTTGTATAGATTTTAACTAAGAGGTAACGTTTAAGCTACGCGAATCAAAGGCAGCTCTTCTTGCCTTCAATTTTTACCTTATATATTTAGCGTAACTTTGTTTTCTTTTGTTTACTGTTCCTACGTTATTTATACGATCATATTTTGTTCGGTGTAACGTTATTACTTTTAATCTCGCCGAATATTTTTCTACACTTCTCCGTCGCGCACGGCTAATAACGTGAAGATGTTTATTGAATTATTTATACCGATCTGTTTTAAAGGACACGCTGTTTCAAAGAGTAATCAGCGTTCACCTTAGTCGTTTAGCAGTGTTGACAAAATATGTTTTTCGCTCTGTCGTTCTCTCAGTACGAGAAACAAACCGAGAAACGAATGTGTATCATATGCAACAGAGTAGCGTCGTATGTACGAGGACGAACCAGAGTCTACGCGAAGAACGCGTAATAAAGAAAGTATAATTCATCGATCGAGCCGCCAAAATCGGGGCCCCATTAAACGCCAGACTCCTTTTTCTAAAAACTATTCGATGAAAGTTCATCATTGATCACTCTGAGATATTTCAACAGTATTAGAATCTATCTTCTTTTACCGTACATTTTATTCACGTTTGGATAAGTTTTCTTTAATGAAAGTTATCCTACTCGTTACGATGAAAGTGCTAAACAGTTGGAAAGACAACTGGAATTTTGATCTCGAATCGATTCAATTTTAATTCAACCTTCTAGAATGCAGTTTTTATTCGTGTTAAATCTACCTCAAATATAGCGCGAGCTATTAATCAGCGTAACCTTGACCTAACACAAAGCCCGTTCAGTTTATCTCTGAACCTAATCCAGATTTAATTCAGACCTAAGTTATACCTAATCCAACGTAATCTAGTCCATCGTTGGACTTGATCAAAATGTAATTGAGTCGACTAATCAGTCTAATCTGAAACCAAATTCAGCTCGGTCGATTCCTCGATCCACTTGCCACTAATTAAAATCTACTTGAAATTGTCCATCGAGTACTGAAAAATTTGCTTTAACGCTACTCACCGACAAAAATAATCCAGCACTTTCGTCGTTACTCTATCGTTAGAATTTCACATACGCTACTTTCTATTTAACGTAGAAATTTGATCGTTTTAACGTTATCATTCATTCGTCCAAGCATCGAGCATCGTTTAAAAAAAAGAAATGATCCACTATGCAAGACACTCGACAACACACCTGTAAATATTCATGTGAATGTCTTATCTCTCTTACCTCGTCGATTTTATAAAACCTAGCACAAACGTGAAACAACTAAAAGTCTACCTGTGAAAAGAAAAACAAAAACGAAAAAAAAAAAAAAAAAGAAAAGAAAAACATCGCTCAAGCCTGAATGAGAAAAGGAGTCCAGCAACGCGGTCGCCCCGTGTAACGTTCTCGCGTTAGAATTGTAACGAACTGTCGACAATTATCCATGCACGTTTATCATAAAAATCATACACGATTAACCGTACGAACTTATCGTAAGGATTAAATAGTTAACGAGTGTTACCGTGTAAGCGCGTCGGTTGTCGATATACCGAAACGAAAGGAAACTCTGTCGGAACAGGAAAAACCAGCATTCAGAACGATCCATCAACTTGCCAGGTCAGTGTTCGACGAGAAACGCCACCGTTCTCTCCCCCAAAACGAGACGTACGCTCTCTCCTGTACAACACGTACAACGTAAGGAGAGAATTTCATGCGAGTAACAGGGGAGAGAATTTCACGCGGGTCTCGTGGAAGTAGCCGCTCGATTCTCTTTCGAAGACGTCTCTCGATCGATCGCTCGCCGCTCTTCGTCGCGAAATTTCCTACAGATCCCCTTTTTCCACGATTTCGCCCTGATACGAAAGCGTGGAGAAAATGCGCGAGAGTGAAACACACCAGGCCTGCTATCTTCGACGACGATTTGCCTGGGTAATCGATCGAGCGTCGCGCGAAACTGATTTTCACACCGTGAAGAGAAAAGTATAAAAGAGAAAGAGAGAGAGAGAGAGGATGTTGAAGAAATGAAAACGCAGCCGCGCGTCTCTGCCCCGTTCATAAAGATTACGCGAGGACATTGAACTACGTAACGAAACACCGTACATGTTGCGATTCTGTACATAAGAGGAAAGTCGTGTATATATATATAATTATATGACATATAAACATATGCGTATATCTATGCGTTATCTAGGATGTAAGGTTGGATAGGCCGTAATCGAATTTAATGGAAGAGCCACGGCGTGGAGATTCGTGTGAGAATAATGGCTAGGATGAGGCGTTGTTCTTCTGTGCTCTCTCGCACGCCGTCGTGCGTCGACGTCGAAAAAGGCCTGTCGACCACGCTAATCGCCGATCGATCGATCCCGAGATCGCCTAACGATACCTTCTAGTACACACGAACTACTTTCATCTTTGAATGATTGATTGATTGATTGATTGATTGATTGATTGATTGATTGATTGATTGATTGAGAATACGAACACACTTGCTTACTGTCTAGTCACTAGATCGTTAGTCGGAGGTCCGTGTCCGTGTTCGCGCCGCGATTTGAAAGCACGAACCACCTGTGTGTTATGTTGCCCAATTGAGAATTTTCATACGACTCGTCAAATTGTTCTTCTGGAACGTTCGTACTAATTAGTTACATACGTATTTTTATTTGAATAAGTGTATATTTGGATGAAGATTCATTGGTATTTATATTTCTTTCTTTTGGAACCGTATTTTTTTTTAAAGAACGGCAGGACCGATTTTTTTTATTTAATCTTCTATCGTTTTACTTGTGTTGTTCTATTTTTCTTTTCTTTTTTATCTTTTAATGCAGGATATTGCACGTGTAGAGCTGTAAGTGACGTTTAGATATTGCAAGCCATATCGATTGATTGAACTCTTTCGTTGTTAGACTGTTCAAATAATAATTAAGTATTCTTTTATTGTTTTCTCTTGGGTTTCTTCGAAAAGATTCGTGAAACGTGAGGGGGAAAAGTGTATGCTAGTTAAATAGAATAATTCTAAGAACATCAAAGTGAAGAAATGAAATGTATTTATTGAAACGAGTATAGGAGATGAAAGATGACAATACGTTCTCGTTTAACAGTGAAACGATCAAAGTGAAGTTCTGTATAGTATTCATATTGTACTATGGAACTTGCAAATGAATATTAAAGAATATAAAAATTAGTATCGTCCTAATCTTGCACCGAAAATATCAAAATATTGATTTCACTTGCAAATTACTATTAAAGTGCATGAAAATTAATATCATCTTAAAGTTACGCGAAAAATATCAAAATTAACTTCAAAATATTCATTTTCATTTCAGAAACATTGATTTCTCTGTCTAAATCCTTCCAATTAAACATTAAACTGAATCTAACGAGAACGCTAATCCACGCTCTGTCGTTAAACGATACGAAGCATAATTTCATGCCGATTAGTTGGTCGAATTTTAACCTGAATTATACCGAATAGCGATGTAACTGCACACGCATGAATGTAAAAATATAAAACCAGGTGGCATGTTTCCTGATCGAGCCAGGACACGGATCGCGTTATGCCTAAATTAAGAGTATTCGAGTTAGACTTAATGTTAAGTTTCGTGTTAAGCGTATTTTTGGTCGACATTCCCTTAATTGTAAGGCGTTTATAATTGCACGATAAAGTGATTTACGTAGGTCAGCGTGTATTTTTTTTTTTTTTTCATTCGCCGATTTCGCTTTGCCTGTAATTCTGTTCGTTCTATTTTTCCCCCCCCTTTCGATTCCATCCAGAACAATCTCGCGACGATCGTCGTTCCCTTCTCTAAAATGATCGTTCACGAGGGATGAAACGTCGTAGACGAATCCTTCGATAAAGAAAGAAAGAACTGGTAACACGATCGATCGTTGCGAATTTTTAACAATCGAATTTAACACTGTACTGCGATTCGTTTTTCGTTTTCGATTCAACGCGGAAAAGAGAAAATCCATGTAACTGGCTGAACGATCGACAGCTCGATTCTCCTTTTTTTCTATCGTTAACGGATCTACAGCTGAGAGTTATTACAGTAAGAAGCGTACAACTTGTCAATATACGTAGATTACCGAATTCGTAGGATTGGTGAATTGAGAATGATCGAGTCTGCGGTAAACGGAGGAGACACAGAAAATTTGTCATTATTTTTCTATTTTAATTCGTTTGAGATTTAACTTTGAGTGTCTTTAAGTAGAATTTGCGATAGAAGATGGTCGTTCAATTTTCGCGTTATTTTAAAATACCCGAAAGGTGTGAAATTTCGCAATTTCTCCAAAATGATGTTTCATCGTTGGAGTTTTTCTCAGGTTTTTAATTGTGTATCTAGTATCGTAGTAAAGGTGGTGGGATTTGAAAATTTGAGCCATACCGAAAGGGTTGATTCGTACTCAACTGAACAAACTGCCAATGTTGCAACAAAGTCAATAAAAAGAGAATTGTTTACGGTTGATCCAGCTGTCGGTCGATCAGCCTGAATAGATTGCGTACAACGATTTCATAATGATATTATACAATTTTTGCAATCTTGTAACGTAGATTATCGAAACCTTTTACCCCAATTTGCCCTCTCCTTTCATTTCATTCTTCGACTTTTATTCTAGAAAACGTGAGAAGTTTTACGTTTCAGTGCTTTTCGGTTTTCATCCGATCGAGTATGTTGGGACTATTGTACATAAATAGGCTCAAACATGTAACAGCGACAAGACAGCAATTACAATTATTGTAGAAACGATGATGTCTTACGAAATAAACTACAGATTAATGGACGTTTCCTCAAAGCGTATTCTTTAAAATGCCACTAAACGAAGGATTTACCAGATCGAGTTTAATTAATTTTAAGAAATTTTCAAACATTCTGAAGCAATTGTAGGTTGAAGAAAGTTTCGGTCATTTCGATAGCTGAATAATATTCTTTGATTGATTTTAGTAAATTTAAAACGAAGAACATATTTTAATTTCTTTTCATATTTGAGATTCTACGTGTAATACAGTTTACAAAAATTTTGAAGGATTTCATGGTAGTTTGTGACGAAGGTGAAAGAATAACTCGATGTTATCGTTAAATAACAAATTTATTAAGTAGCTTGATCCACAAAAGGTAAGATAAGTTTTCACGATTGACGTTAAACGATAAAGAATAATAACGAAATATAAATTTGTACAAAAGTATTGTACAGTAACGACTTAACGATGAGTTAATATCAAACTTAATTTAGTCCCTAATTGTACATTATAAATATATGGTATTTAAGTATCTGACAAATGTTCCAAATAGAAGTAACAATGATCGTATCTTACACTAACTTGCATCTATA